TTTGAACATGATATGAATGATAAGTAATGGATTTGACCATGAATTGAAAACATATTGATTAATATGGAGTCATATGAGGTAGAAACATGCTAATATGTTAAATAGATTTTTTTCTAACTCTTGTAAGAATGTTATGTGCATGTAAATGTATAGTTGCATGATGATGCTTAGCACATGGGAGGCTGCCACATATGGAGGGGCTACCATTAAGAGTAAATGAGTTGTAGGAATAATCTTAATAGTATTGTGATGCTAGATAAGGATTGTTCGAAAATTCGATAGAATCAAACTTAAAGGTTTGGGTTTGTTTGTGATGAACTTGAATAAGATTCAAGTGTCAATTGTGAATTCATGGAGTAGGAGATCTATGGTGTGATTTTATGAAGTAGGAGATCTATGGTGTGATTTTATGAAGTATGAGATCTATGGTGTGATTATATGAAGTAGGAGATCTATGGGGTGAATACATGATGTAGGAGATCTATGATATAATTGTATGAAGTAAGAGATCTATGATGCGAGTGCATGATGATGTACTCGAGCCGAACTCTAGAGAGGAGAAGTTATATTAGGGTCGGGCCCTATGTATTGTCGTGACTATTAGTCACGGGGTTTGGGAAATGTTTTGTAACAAACATGGGCCTTTGAGCCGACTACTTGACTTTATATAAAGTAAGTATATATTTTAAAGGGGTAATTTGGGATTACGGCCTATACTATATTATCAATCTATTTGAGGGTCTTGTGTGTGAAATACTTGTTGTATATCTATTAGATGCCTGCCACACCAGTACTTTATAGCCGTATAGAGTACTGACCCCTTCGGGGGCGTCCCACCACCCTTTCAGGTTGAAGCTCGAGCTTGTTACCTGTGCTCGTTGCTCGGGTGATCCTTTGGAGAGAAGACGTGGTTCGTGCTTTCTCCATTCTGTTTTGAACAATATTAAACATGCTCATGGATATTTTACTATAGAGCCCGCGTGCTCATGAATAGCCCTGTGTGGCCCTTTTGTTTTAAACAATGTTTTCTGCTGCGTTATGAATTACTTATTATGTTTGTTTTATTGTTTATGGATGTTATATGTGTGAGTGATATTCAAGACGCCTTGTATAATATGAATGTGTTGGACTGCGGTTGACTATTCTTATTGTACGGCGGGTTGTTGACGTGTCCGGGGAGGTCCGGGGTGTGACATAATGAGTATCAACAACACATGTTTGATTAAGTAATTGCAAGTATATTTAGCAGTCTAACACTTAAATAACCATGGATCTATAAGTAGGCTGACTCAATGTAATGTTGATTTTTTGTCTTTCTATAACGAGGCACACACAAACTCACACACATGAAGTTGAAGCTAGGAAGTTACTTTGTCTTGTGCCTTCAATAGTTAAATACATTGTATATACTGCGTATGTAATTCTTTATTTATATTGTTCAGAAAACATTAATCATAATTATATTACATCATAATTGAAATACATAATACCAGACTCGCAAGAAGAAGGTACTCTACGAGGATCTCGCGGAGGTTGTGCTCCTCCACTTTAACCTGCACTTGTAGCTGCAGATCTTGCCATCATATACACCTGTATGTGCAAACAAATAGAAAAACTACAGACTGTTTTAGGATAAACATTAAACTAAATTTCATTGAAGTATCAATAAACTTTAAAACATAAATCACAACCACAATAAGTATATCATTAAGATTTTTAACGAGGAAAACTTGAATATCTAAATAAGCAAAGTACTTCCAAATAGCAAAAGTTCAAATAAATAAATAAAAACATTTAATCATCATCACTACTAATGTATTTTGTGCTCTGATCATCATCATCACTACTATCGTCGTCTTCATCACCACCACCAAAAGAAAGAGCTTCGTCTTCACCCTCTTCGTTGTACTCATAACAAGTCTCATCTTCTTCATCGGTGGACACAACATCTGGTGGACACAACATCTGGTGGTACACTTGATTCATTCCATAACATAGCATCTATGTTTGGAATTTCAACATGCAAACGGATCTCTGAAGATTCTACATCTTGAACGATGCACATATCATCTCCTTCATTTTTGAAAATATTACAACAACAAGTCAACAAGTCAACAATATAGCCCAAGTCTTACTCCCAAAAATTTTGAGGTCAGTGAACATGAAGCGATCCATGATATCATAGTCAAATAGAAAATAAAGATAATAAAAACAAAAAGACAAGATAACATGAAAAAGGATAGGAAAAAAATAAATGTAAGATAAAAATATAAGAAAGATAAAAGATAAAAAAAAGACATAAGAAAGATAAAAAAGATCGATAAACATATAAAAGAAAAGACAGAGATAGAAGAGGGAAAAGAGATCAATCCTTCACAAGAATATTCCCATGCATTTTGTTCTCTTATAAGCCATACTCTTATAGTCTTATTATTCAATCCAAGTAGGAACTTATCATTCATGATTCCTCTAACCCATGTTAAGCTCCACCTCTTATAGTCTATTTGGTCTTTCCCTCCCCCCTCCTATCCGCCTCGTACCCCACCTCTAAGTCGTTTTACAGGTGTATCATCGATCACACAAATGAGTATGTCACGTGACTAAACCAGCGCAATTGAGACTCTTGTATCAATCAGTCTTCTACGCACATTTTCAAAAATATGATTAAAGTAAAGTTTATTTATAAAAATATGATTAAAACTAGGGAAAAATAATTAAAACACCCTAAACTTTGAAGCGGTGTGAGATAAACACCCCAAACTTTCATTATGTAATTAAAATAACCCAAACTTTATATAAAAAGTAATTTTAACACCATGGTCATGTATTATTCCTTTCAAAAATGTAAATTTATATGTTAATTGTATAATTCAAAATAAGAAATTGAAAATGTTGCAATTATAGAGAGTGGGTGGTGGGGGGGGGGGTAATACTATTTATTTTACAATGGAAGTTTAGAATGTTAATTGTATCTTCATGAATGCTAAAATATTTTAAATTATAAAATTAACACCAAAAATTGACATTTTTGAAAAAAAAAATACATGACCATGGTGCTAAAATAACTTTTATGTAAAGTTTGAGGTATTTTAATTATTTTGAGGTGCTTACTTCACACTCCTTCAAAGTTTAGGGTATTTTAATTATTTTTCGCTAAAAACTATTACGAGAATGGTGTCATGACACTAAGCGTAAATTTGAATTTAAGTTACTGTGACTAAAGTTATTGTTATAATCACTACACTTAAAAAATCACATTTTTATAAATAACTTTTATTTTGGTTGTAAATATCTATTATTTCAAAATTATAAAGTTTTCAGACAATTAAATAAGGAAAAATTGATATAATAATAAATTTCATTTAATTTAACATAAAATTGTTATTTAATGGGACTTATTTAATTTTTTATTATATACATAACTATTAATTTTTTACCAGACTTATTAATTTTTTATCATACACATAACTATTAATTTCACGAAATTGAATTGTATAATAATCAAAATAAGGAAGACTGAAGTTATTTTCTTGTCTAAATTGACAGAAATTGCTAAAAGACGACGATGTTAGAGCTATATCCTCATACAATTTGTTTCACAATTCATAAATTTAGCTAATTCAATCACTTTTACTAGAACTTCATTGATTTTGAGAGATTTAATAATTAATGGATAAAGATAGAATAATACGATTAAAATTATTGGATAAATTTCAGTATTTCCAAACAAAGTCAGAATAATACGATTAAAATTATTGGATAAATTTAGTAAGCAAGACCAAAAAGTAAAATAAGATAAAGATAGAAGTCCTAATGTAGTTTATATATGAAGTCCCAGACACTAAGATAAATATAAAGATATATGAAGACCAAAAAGGAAAATAAGATAAAGATATATGAACTATGAAGTCCTAAGGAAAATAAGACTAATTCCGTCCCGCTAAGATTGTCCCAGACACTATTCACTTAGTCAACACAAATCACTCTTAATCTCTTACTTTATATATTAAATTTTTATCAAACTTGGTTCTGGTTTTGCGATTTTGTAAAGTTTTTAATGCGGTTTCTGAATATGTAAAAAAGTTCTAAAAATTATTTGAGATGTAGACAAGGATTTGTTTGTTTTATCACCGGTCAACCATCATAAACCAAATTGTCTTAAACATAGTGAGATGAAGGTAGTATTAAACACTGCGTATAAGATTTTCTCTAATGGAACAATATGTACGACTCATACGTCAACTTAGAGATATTAGCATACAAAATTAAATTAAATGAATAAAATTTCTTTCTCGAATAAAATTTCTTTCTCTTTCTTCTTAAGCTCTTCTATACTTTATAGATTTAGGGGTGTTTGGATCTGATTCTTTAAACTGCTTTTCTGCTCCCTGATAGAAGCTGGAGTGTTTGGGTGGAAATACATAAGTGATTCTGGTACCCTAATTTACTCCTAGAATAAGTTTTTTTAGAAGCTGGGGGAGACCGACTTCTGAAAAGTGATTCTGCTTCTGCTTCTGCTTTAAAAAGAAGCAGAATCAGAATGGGTTCCAAACACCCCCTTATCTACAATATAATGTCTACATTTAGACGTGTTCCTTAACATTGTATAGAAAAAATTACCAAAAATGAATACTCCCTCCGTACTGGAAGCAAGTTCCCGGGTTGACTTTCACACATTTTAAGGAAATAAAATTACTGAGAGGTAAATTGTACTGTTTTGACACTGTTTCGACATTGTTTGGTACTGTTTTGCACTGTTTGGCATTGTTTTGCACTGTTTTGATCTATATAATTTGCCAAATAAATAAGGAAGTGAGAAGTTTATTTTGGGACATCCAAGTAAGGAAAATGAGAACTTGTTTCCAAGACGGAAGGAGTATTATAGAGAAAAAATTACCAAAAAGGAAAGATATATTATTGGGAGTATTTTTAGAATCTTCGAGCTGTTAATTTTTTTACTGTACCAAGATTCTTTTTGGGGAGGAAATAATCTATGTTTATTTTGTTTCTTTTGTCCGTCAAAAATTCGCGTTTGTTGAGGTGGGTGCGGTTGGCAGCTTCGAGAGGAAGGGAGACAAACAACCGTTGAGAGTCTGGAAGAGTAGAATCCAAACTTCATATTTTGCCCCAACTTACTCGGACGCCATTAAAAAGGTCCTCAACTTTCTCTTGTCAAGGAAAACAAATTTGTCGGTCTTCCACTGCCCCTTTTAGCTCTGTGTCCATACCATTTTCTGAATTGTATGGGAATAAGGAATCTTCTGATACCATCATAGAGCATGACTGAACATCTGGGTATGTATGTATATTCATAATCTTCTTGCTTGCGCAAATTTACATCTTTCTGCTGATTTTGTCCCTCCGAAGTCCTAATGTTATGGGTTCTGGATTTTCTGCTTTTTTGTCATGCCTGCCATCTTTTGTTTATTAGAAATTAGAAAAGCTTCTCTTTTTTTATGATTTTTGCACTTATGAGCTTATGAGAACTTATGTTACTAGCTATAGTGGTCTACGGGTCTTCATGTCCACTCCAACCAAAAAACTTATTGCAACCCCTGCGGAGTCATATAACTTATGTGGCCTCAGACTAATAGTCATTCATTTTTATGATTCTTTAGGTATAACCCGGCAGTTCACTTACAGAAGAGTGTTTGGAGTTTCAGCAGCAATGAAGAAAGATTTATACAATTTTTAAAAACTTGGTTTGACTAGGTAATTGATCACATCTGTGATGACTGATGAGATTTGGATGAAATGACTTATGGGTCCCACCTGATATTATAAACCAGTGTATAGAATTAGTTAGTCGATTAATTTCAATCTTTTAACTTCATTAAAACCAAGTAATTTATGAAGTAGTTCAGTAGGGAACAATTAAAAATTTAAAATATATATATGTGATATTAAAAATATATGTGTGAGAGAGAGAGAGAGTATGAATATGTGTGTGAGTTAGTGAGTGTTTGTATTACACACTTTGATTATACTAATGGCAAGTATACAAATCTAGTCTTAATATTGCATGGGACTAGTTAAGCTCAAAACATCTATTTGATCAGGGGATAAGATTTAAAATATAATGCATGAACTCAAAGAGTGATTTGTTCCTACAAGTTTTTTTTCTTTATACAGTTTTGTGTCTTAGCACAAGATTTGGTTCTGACATGGTGTTTTCTGTAGGGAAGTGAGAAGTTCTTGAGATGAAAAAAAGGAGTGGGAATGCGGATTCCCCGGACACGGTTCTTGAGGACTATTTAAACGGTTTAGAATACGAAACAGATTCTTCAAAGAACAGCAATCCTGAATCGGATGCTGATAAAGAGACAAAGGGTACATCAAAATGGGGGGGCTTTGCTCAAATGTTTAGTAGAACTAAGACGAAGCTGCATTTGGGTAGGTTGGATTCCCTTGCTTTTTTCAAACTTTCAAGAAGATTGAGTAGTAGCACGAGGGAGACAGCTTGCAGTGCTTCTGATCCTCCGCATCATTCTGCTATGGGTGGCGATTTCAACTGTTTCAAGCCTTATTGGAGGAACTTTAGCCTCTCTGAACTCCATATTGCCACCAACTACTTTCACCAAGGCTAGTACTAGTTTCTTTAAGGCTTGTTTAGTTTGGGGTTTTTAAGGAGGATGGGGGAGGGCTTATTTTCTTTTTACTATATTAAGTCATGTAATTATATATAATTTTCATATTCATTTTCTTTCTAGCTATATAAAGGTTTTAAAAATTATTACTCCGTATTACTTTTTAAATAAAAAGGGCTAAAGAATTCTAAAGGATTTGTTTGGCAAGTATAGACTTGAGGTTTTAATTCTAAATGGTTAACCTGACACAAGGATTAGTACATGAACATATATGGAGTCTGTAAATTTATGTTTGCATAGAGTGGGATAACTTACGAGTAAGCAATTTGAAAACTTTAGGTTTTCCAAACATGTGATTTTTGGTTTGGAGTGCTGTGGATTGAGAAAGATATTTCACTTGAGTGTTGGGATGTCTTTTTTGAATATGTATTTTGTTTAGAATGATTTTAAGGAAATAGGGAAACTGGGTTTGTATCAATAAATAACAGAACGCGAAAGGCTCAAATCAAGAAGCAACAATTTGTAGCTTATTGATTTTAGGGCTTCACCAAACATTTAATCATTATACTCTTATTATTATGTGCAGAAAACTTAATCGGGAAAGGCGGTTATGCTGAGGTGCACAGAGGGCGGTTGCGTGATGGACAATTCATCGCGGTCAAACGTTTGACAAGAGGACAACCCGAAGAGAGAATAGGAGATTTCCTATCTGAGATTGGGATAATGGCTCATGTCAACCATCCCAATACTGCTAAGTTGATTGGGTATGGGGTTGAAGGCGGATATTTTCTCATACTTGAGTTATCACCTCACGGAAGCCTAGCCTCTGTGATTCATGGTCTGTGGATCATCTTTCAACTCTCTCACTTTCCTTTTATGTATGTTCTGTGTTATACTAAATGGTCATATTTGTGGTCTGCAGTTTCAAAGAAGAAACTGGAATGGGACATCCGGTATAAGGTTGCGCTAGGCACCGCTAAAGGGATACAATATCTCCATGAGGGTTGTCAAAGGAGAATAATACATAGAGATATTAAAGCCGCTAATATATTGCTTACTGATGACTTTGAGCCTCAGGTATTTATTTCCCACTTGTGCTTTTTTTGTAAGTGACGTTATCTTCTAATATTGAGAATGCGATTCATGTTTCCCATGGGTGTTTGCATGGGTGAAATGTGAATGGATAAACCTCTTAGTAAGTGTGACAATCTTCACTTTTTGAGAGCTTTTTTGGTTTGAGCCTGAGCTTATTCCTTAACATGTCATCTAAATTCTAAACCACTTCTACACTCCTATCAATAGCCACGAGTCTCTTGTAAAACAATTTTGCACTTCCTTCGTCCCTATTTAATCTTCCCACTTTCCTTGTTTGGACGTCCCTTAATAAAGTCCCCTTTCCTTATTGTGTACTCACAGGGTACTCTACCCTACAGTAAAATTTACCCCATTCCCTTAATATAGGTGCAAGTCAAAGTGGGAAGATCAAATAGGGATGGAGAGAGTATCTTTTAGCAATAAGTTGGGCACATCCTTAGCCTAACAAATATTTTATCTGTTTATAAATATTTTCAGTGAATAATCTAGTGCTTACATTTCTTTTCTGGTTGTTCTTTGTGTTCAAGTGACATTGTCCTCTAGTATTGAGAATGCTATTCACATTGGTGATGGGTGTTCACATCGATTCATTATGAAGAAATAAACTTATATAAGTGTCAGATAATCTTCACTCCTAGAGAGCTCTTAAGGATAGTAGCCGAAGCTTAATTGTGACATAGTATCAAAACATTCAAAACTAATCCTGCACTCCTACCAATAGCAATAATATGGGTCCTAGATGGAAAACTTTTGCATCTTTTAGAGTTGAGTTAAGCCCAAAATTATTCTAACACTTTTGCAAAATGACTCACTAAACTGTCTGCGCTTCTTTGTTATGAAGCAGCAGTCGGTCCATGCAATTTTCGACACAATTGTCACTATGGGTCATCCGGAAAGTCTCTCCATACTTTAGTATAGGGGTAAGGCTGCGTGCATCCGACCCCCCTACCCCACTGTAGGTGGGAGCCTTTGCGGCACTAGATTAATGACGATGATGATGATGATATGTTAGTGTTCATAAAAACCTCATTGAGGAATTATGACATTTCTGCTTTTTTTACAAGATGGAAAATCTCAAATAGAACATTTCATATTTCAGATATGTGATTTTGGACTTGCAAAGTGGCTCCCGGAACGGTGGACTCATATCAATGTCATGAAGTTTGAAGGGACATTTGGGTAGTAAGAGCAAACCATATATCCCACTTTTCCAGTTTGGTAGTAGCTTTTTACCTCATATCCTAAACTTTAAAGTGAAACATTGCGGTTTCAGGTATCTTGCGCCTGAGTTTCTAATGCATGGCATAGTAGATGAAAAAACAGACGTGTTTTCCTTTGGAGTGCTTCTTTTAGAGCTGATTACTGGGCGTAGAGCTCTTGATTACTCTCAACAGAGCCTTGTGATTTGGGTATGCCCCATATATTTTATCATATGCCTTATCATCATATTCCTGACGGTATTTAAAGCTTTCATTATTGGCATGTCAGGCAAAACCACTGCTAAAGAAGAACAAGATCAGAGAGCTTGCCGATGCAGCACTAGGTGACAACTACAGCTTGCTACAGATGAATCTCATGGTGTTGGCTGCTTCTTTGTGTGTCCAACAATCTCCAATTAGGCGTCCTAATATCAGCCAGGCAAGTGCAGATAAAGGATAAATCTTAGACTCAACTCAATTAAGGGGGTGTTTGGAATTGATTCTGTTTCTACTTCTTTTTAAAAGAAGTAGAATCAGAATCAGTTTTTCAAGCTAGTCTCCCCCGACATCTAAAAAACTGCTTCTAGGAACATTTTGGAGCACTCATAAGTACTTCTACACTTCCACCCAAACATTTTGGAGCAGTTTTAAGAAGTAGATCCAAGCAGTTTTAAGACTAGGGTGATTCATCCTGAAAGGCCACCCCGCAAAATAGTGAGACTAGTTGGAGCATAACAACTTGGAATACTGTATTCATCATTGAGCCTTATCAGATTGACGGTTCTCGTTTATACTTTATAGACTCTGATATGGAGGTAAGAAGCCATATTAAGGCTTGACGTTTAAGCTTCATATAAGGAGTAGTGAAAAGGACATATGGTGCATTTGACCGATGTGGAATGATTAACAAAACGAATGTATAAAATGCATCAGACTTGCGGTTAATTTAATCTTATAGGACGAAAAGTCTAGTCTTAATAACAACATTGGTTGCTCTCAGGATGCATGATCTTGCGGGAATGCTGTCACATACCATTGATGAAATATTAAAAGAAAAAACAAAGCAACATGAAAGACATTTGATTGAACATATCTTTTATGATGAAACTCTAAGTCTTAACAACGACACTAATGGTAACAAACTGATGTTGACAGAACAGGTTCTGCAGCTTCTAAGAGGAAACTATGAAAGTCTAGATTTGATCAGACGGTGTAGAAAGCCATTACAGTGGAAGGCATACTATGAAGAACTGTTCAGTGCAGAAGGGTATCACAAAAAGAGCAATGTTAACTGTCACAGTCTGCAGGAACAGGTTGCTATAGAAATCCAGAAACACATCCCACCCAGGAAAGAGCTGTAGATTTCATTTCCAGTTGTGTTGATCTTCATCTTCATATTCTGTCAAAAGGAAGGGTTTGAATATCACTTCTGCAGCATCTCTTTTCAAGAGGTGACTAGAGTAATTATCTTTGGATCCATCGATGACTGCCACAACTTCTTCAGGGTTCCAACCTGCTTTCTTTTGCTGCTGTAATTAATTTTGTTTCTTTCTATATCTATGTTTTTAGTATGTGTGATAATTTATGTCTGTTAAATATGACGTAGCACTTTAAAATATTGGTAGTCCTAAATATATTATGAAGATTATCGCATGAGTAAAGAAAAGAGAGAAACATAAAAGAAAGGAAAAATTGCTTTGAGTGTATTTTTTAATAATACTAAACTCTCTCGACAAATGAAAAAAATAATATGAGCAGTTTTCCGATTAGAATTTCAGTACATCAAATACTTGTTCCAAACAATCAAATAAAGTTATTTCAAAATGGAGTTGCTTGATATTTGGATATAAAAGGACAAACTACATCCAAGACGTCTTTTCAAGATATTCACGCAATTCAAGATATTCACGCAATCAACAAAGGATTCCGCAAATCCGGATTAGTGATTTGCATATCAATTCGAACATGGCGACCACGTCGCCCAAATCTTTTATCTCTTATTTTGTACTATAAAATCATGTAATCCTTGTAAAGTTAATCAAGCTCAATACATTGAATACACTACATATATTAATCTCTCTAAAGATTATTCTTGAGAACATTAATTATATTCGGCTAACTCTTGTTAATTATTTTCTGGTGTCTTTGCACTTAGTATGGATAACATGTCTGCTTCGACATTTTGCGCTTTTGGTATCTGTTCAATTTCATAAGCGATGAATAATTTCAGAAGTTCCAGGGCAGCGTCACGATATTGTCTCATCCGTTCTTCCTTTTCTTCAAACTCAGTCGTGATTTGTCCAACCATTAGTTTTGAATCACATCGTATCTTGACCTTCTCCGCCCTCAAGTTCGCTGCCAAGCGCAGACCACATATTAGAGCCTCGTACTCTGCCTCATTATTCGATACCTTAAAGTTGAATCAGATAGCGTAATAGGCCCTGAAAACTTCGAGCGTGGTGAGGACCACTCCTCCCCCGCAAGATTTGGCCGCAGAGGAGCCATCCGTGGACAGTATCTACCACTCCTTGTCATCGTTGCCATGCTTCATCTTCGTTGCTTCCTCCCGCGCCGTGCATTCTACTATGAAATCTGCAAGAACTTGCCCTTTGATGGAAGGTCTTGGCTTCACCTCTATATGAAATTGACTTAGATACACTGCCCATTTGACCATCCTCGAGGAAGCCGTGGGACTCCTCATTAGCGCGCCTAGGGGTTGGTGCGACAATACATGGACAGGGTGAGCTTGGAAGTACTGTGTGAGCCGTTTGCATGACTGTCCACACCACAGACAAAACAGTTTATTCTATGGTTGTGTACCGTAGCTCAGCGTCCCTCAAAGTTTTGCTTACATAGTAAACGGGTCTTTGAACGCCACCATATTAACGTACCAGAACACAACTGATTGCGCTTAGTGAACCCCCTAGGTATAGGTACAGTGTCTCCCCCGCTTCAGGTTTGGACAACACTGGAGGAGACAAGAGGTAGTTTTTCAATCCCTCAAATAATTTTTGACACTCCTCAGTCCAAAAGAAACCCTTTGATTTCTTCATGATGTGGAAGAATGGCGTGGCTTTCTCCGTTAGTTTTGATAAGAAGCGGTTCAAAGCCACTAAGCGTTCCGTCAATCGTTGCACTTCTTTAACATTACGAGAAGGTTCCATTTCGAGTATGGCCTTGACATTCTCTTAATTTGGCTCGATCCCTCTTCTGCTTCATGGTCAGGAGGTGTGGTCATGTTGCTTGGTTCTTTTGTTCGCACCAAAGTGTTGAAGAAACCTTTGCGCTAAGTCCTCCCATTCATCAATCGAGCCATGGGGGAGAGAATTGAACCACTCACACGCAGTTCCCTCCAATGTAGCTACGAAACATCGCCAAATTATTTCCTCTGATGCCCCAATCATAATCATATTAGCATAATAATCTGACAAATGTTCCTGGGGATCTGAGGTTCCCAAATAGGCCTTGACACGGGGCGCCTTGTAGCCAATTGATAACGGGTATGTGCCATGATCCGTGTGGTGAACGGGGTCACCGTCATGAGTTTAGCGTCTGTGTGTCCATCTCCAGCATTTACTCGTTGCTGCAGGTCCTCGATTTTTCTCCATAGCTTCCTCACCTCCACATCATTCAGACCATTCTCAGTTCTGTCTGCATGAAGCATTACACATCTCTTCCTCCATCCTCTACTTTTGCATTCCTCGGTTTTGGTGAACGTTTTTCCAGTCCCACCAGCATGCTCATTCATATGTCCAAGTGACTGGCAGCGATATGAGTGACATTGGGAACTTGCACGCGCTCCTTTTCATCATGGTCGCGTCGCCCACAACGGTTTTGTGTATCCCTTTCTTTTTCAACATGGTGAGATCGTCTGATATGGTCTTTAGCAGAGCGTCGTCGATCTCCCAGCCTAATAAATACCAAGGCTTCACTTCGAGTTGGTTGGTTCGAAGGGACAGGGATCCCCCATCCCTCTCTTTTCTCTCCATTTTTTCGAGATGGCGCCGATGATGTCACCTCCATCTCCACCACGAATGACTAGTCAGAGCTTGAGTTCCATGTGGTTGAGGAGGCTTTTGAGCGCCAGGGATTGCACGGCGTACGTCCTTCGCAAGAGTACCCAACATCTTGGTCATCCTTAGGAGGGCACCATGAACATCTGACACTTCTACAGGAACCACCGCAAGGCGCGACTGAGTCAAGTACGAAGGTCCTGACCCGATGAGTTGGACGTAGTGTGTCCAACGGCGGGTACATCCTTCTCAACCTCGGTAGTAGCCATTGTTACAACGTATGAGATTGCCCGAGTGTATTTTGAGCTCTCAACAAGAGCATCAAAATGATGGAAATAAATCCACCAGAAAGTAATTAATACTACTACCGTCCCACTAAGATTGGGACAAGAGAATGTGGCACGATTATTAAGAAAAGTGGGTTTGTGTGGTTGATATTAAATTGATGGCTAAAGGGTCAAATAGGCCCTTGAACTGACTTAAAGTGTTCAATTAGCCCCTTATATAGGAGGTTCTGCCCGGCCATCGCTAATTGGGGCGGTTCCCGGTGGAATTGTTTGATGAAATTTTTTAAACATCTTCTTCATTAAGTCTAGTTTACCCATACCAAAATTCAGCTAAAAATTCAACCGGGAAGGCAGTCAAACGATTTTCCAAAATGTACCGCGCTGTTTAACTTCGCAGTTATCTTCAAAAAATCATTTGACTGTCTTCCCGGTTGAATTTTTTGATGACATTTTTTAAGCATCTTCTTCATTAAGTCTAGTTTACCCATACCAAATTTCAGCTAAAAATTCAACCGGGAAGGCAGTCAAACGATTTTCCAAAATGTACCGCACTGTTTAACTTCACAGTTATCTTCAAAAAATCATTTGACTGTCTTCCCGGTTGAATTTTTAGCTGAAATTTGGTATGAGTAAACTAAACTTAATGAAGAAGATGCTCAGAAAATGTCATAAAAAAATTCCACCGGGAACCGCCCCAATTGGCGATAGCCGGGCAGAACCTCCTGTGTGAGGGACAAATTGAACACTTTAAGTCAGTTCAAGGGCCTATTTGACCCTTTAGCCTAAACTGATAAAGTAAAAATAAAGTAAGAATGATTAAGAGCCACACAAACGTTACCGAATTTGGTATGAGACAATCTTAGTGGGACTTCCCGAAGAGGTAATGAGACAATCTTAGTGGGACGGAGGGAGTAATAGATAGCCGAGAATAATTAATGTACTCAAAATATTTTTTATAGAGATAAATGTATGTAGTGTATTCAGTGTATTGAGCTTGATTAACTTTACAAGGATTACATGATTTTATAGTACAAAATAAGACATAAAAGATTTGGGGGCGGCGTGGCCGCCATGTTCGAAATGATATGCAAATCACTAATTTGGATTCACGGATGTAGTTTGTCCGTCTGGAGTCGCCATGTAACTTTTGCCATAATGTCGAGAGACACCATGTATAAGTTATTATTTGGATAAGCTTCTATTACTATTTCCAGGGTCGCCATGGACATTTCTTTATACTCCCTCCGTCCCTTAAAACTTTGTCATTTTTCCTTTTTGGGACGTTCCAAAAAACTTTCCCACTTTCCCGTTTAATCAATTATTTTGTGGTTTATTTTTTCTCTCTCTCCTCTGCACAAACATCAACCACACAGCTTTTACTTTATTATTCTCCGTGCCGGTCAACTTTGGCAAAGTTTTAAAGGACGGAGGTAGTATAAGCTTACCATGGCATCCAAGGCTATAGTGCACTCTGGTCTTCTACTTGCTTGTGTCCATGGTTGCTGTGGACATGCTCTCTGGATAAGCTTACCATGCCATCCACGGTTAGTGTACTCCCTAGTCTTCTACTAACTTGCGTCCACAGTCGCCATATATAGTCTTTTTATCTTCTTACCTGCGCGTGGTCGCAGCGTACGAGCTCTCCTTATACCTTACCATCATCCGTACATAGTTACCATGCACATAAACCTCTAACCCGTTTTCACCATGTTAACCCGATCAGTATTTATCCATGGTTGGGATAATTATATCATCACAAGCCCCCTACTTCCTAATCCTAATAATATATCGACTATAGGGAGTGTAGATACATGTCTGCCGTGCCAATATGAAGTGTACATGGTCACCATGCCAATATTTTTGTCTTTTGACTAGGGGTGGGATCGGTCCGGTCTGGGTCGGGTTTTTGTTAAACCCGGAAATTACCCGGAAGGTCTCGGGTTATGAAAATTACGGACCGGAAAAGAGCCCATTGTAATCGGTCCGAGTCGGGTTTTTGGTAGACCGGGTTCGGTCCGGGTTTGGGTTGGGCCGGTTAAAGCCCGAAAGCGAAATATCTCATTGTTCTTTTATATTTTAACACCTATTTTCAAATAAGATTAATAAAAAATACAAACCTCAAATAATAACACAAATATTAGTCTCCAAAATCACCAACAATTCAAATCTAAAGAAGATAATTATGTTAATAATTTATTTAAGATGCATATAAATAAATAATATAGGTTTGTTAAAAATATTATAAAATAAAATTTATAGATAAAAATGTGACTAGAGTTGCTATAAATATATTTCCTTGGTCATTACGCTAAACAAATTCAACATATTTGAAGTCACTAAAAGTTACTAAATCATTTTTTAATCCACCGTGATTATAATCATATATTAGGAAATATTTATAAATTTATATATTCATATACTCCCTCCGGTTTTTAATAAACTTTACACTTTCCTTTTTGGGACGATCTAAAATAAACTTCACACTTCCTTATTTCCTTTTTTGGTAAAGAAATCTACATCAAAACAGTGCCAAACAGTGCCAAACAGTGCCAAACAGTGCCAAACAGTGTCTCGACAGTGTCAAACAGTGTCTCTACAGTGCCAAACAGTGTCAAACAGTGACTCAACAGTGTACTCTACAGTAAAGTCAAATTTCTTTTCTTATTTTGTGTGAAGTCAAAGTGTGAAGATTAAATAAAACCGGAGGGAGTATTATATTAATTTTATATTAAAGCTAATTGTTTCGGGTTTTTATCGGGCCGGGCCGGGTTATAGATTTTAATGCCCGTTAGTGAGCCCGGAATTTTGGGTTCGGTCCATTTTTTTAATTCGGGCCGGTTAAAAAGGAAAAACCCGGATCGGGATCATAATTCGAGTCAGTCCAGGGTTGGTTTCCGGGTTTCGGTTCGGTTTTTCCCACCCCTACTTTTGACCCGTTCAATTATTTAACTAATTTAATTTTCCTTTTCTTTTACCGAAGCGTGCAACTCATGACCTCACATTAACTTTCTTTCCCATAGGTGAGGGGGGCCAGTCACACCACTGAAGCATCACAGTCCAGGCTTCAACTTGCCGACAACTATGCCAGCGTCGTCCGCCGCCCGCCGGCGTCCATTCGCGTAACCAACCCCTCTAGTCGGAGTTCCCATCTATCGTCGCCCTTCGTCAGCTTCCCCCGGCCGCGGTGAGGCAGAGAAATAGTTCAACCACCGGCGGTTGTCTTCGCTTCCGGTCGCGACTCATCTTCCCCGTTGCTTTATCTCAACCGCCGCCGATGTGTAGCCTGGGCTGCGGCCGCTCTTAGGTGAAGTTGCATCACCGTCGTTGGTCCTCTGTCGCCGGGCGTCAGCACACTCCGGTGATATCAAGGACTGTTCTCCGTCGCTGTCTACTACCTGCAACGTCGCCGTCTTCCACCCGCGCCGTCGCTCTAGGTGTCCATTCTGATTCAGCCGCCGCCGTTTGCTAGGGTACGCACTACACAGGTACGCTACTTCCCCATCTTCCAATTTATTTGCTATCTTTTATTTTGACTTTCTTTGACTCATTCTTGGTTCTGTGACCGTGGCTCCTTTGGAGTCTATTTTGACTCTTTTCTTTTCTATCTTATTTATCATGGAATGTTAATTTTGATGATGTCCTTTGTCATTATTTTGAATAGTTTTCAACTTTTCATCAATTTATGGACGTATTAAATTCCATAAATTCTGATGATTTATCAAGTGATGAGGGTGAATTAGTGTTAGGAGAATTTTTCACGTCCTTTGGCAGATGCTAATTCGGACGTCGAAGAAATTAGTCCCGTAAAGTCACGAGCCGATCCGGTCAAGCCACCAAAACGTCGTGACCGTGACCCGTATCCATTCTTAGACCAGAGCCCCATTTTACGTTACAAGTCGTGCCTCTCAATTTCCAAATTTCAAAAGTATAAGAAAATTTTCCCATCCACAGTGACTGTCCGATGTCCAGACACGGAGAATATTGTAACTGATCCTCCTAAGGGTCACTTTTTCGGGGTGCGTATCCTTTCCATAAAATTAGGATTTCGCTTTCCCACACACCCTTTGATCATCAAGTTCTTAAATGACCTTGAAATTTCACCTTGTCACCTGACTCCGCTTGGTCATCAGTATTTGGTAGCTTTCTTGGTTCGATGTAACACACTTAGGATTAAACCATCCCCAGATCTTTTCAAGCATATGTTTCGAGTTGGGCAGTGCTCGGCATCCGATAGTCGGTCTTGGGTGTCTATTTCTCAACGTAACCACTTTGACATGTGGAAGGTCACTCGTAACAACAAAGCTAATTGGAAAGAAGAGTGTTTAATCCCATGTGTGTTATATCGGACCAAAAAAGCTGCCAGATACTTATGACCGAGCGGAGTCAGGTGACAAGGTGAAATTTAAAGAACATTTAAGATCTCGATGATCAAATGGTGTGTGGGAAAGCGAAATCCTAATTTTATGGAATGGATATGCAGCCCGAAAAAGTGACCCTTAGGAGGATCAGTTACAATATCCTTCGAACCTGGACATCGGACAGTCACCGTGGACGGAAAAATTTCTTACACTTTTGAAATTTGGAAACTGAGAGGCGCGACTTGTAACATAAAATGAGGCCCGGGTCTAAGGATGGATACGGGCCACGGTTGCGACGTTTTGGTGGCTTGATCAGAGCGGTTTGTGACTTTACGAGACTAATCTCTTCGACGTCCGAATAAACATCTTCCAAGGTATGAGACAAATTCTCCAACACTAATTCACTGTCATTACTTGGTAAATCATCGGAATTTATGGAGTTGAAAATGTCCATATATTGATGGCAACTATTCAAAACAATAGATATCATCAACATTAACACCAGGAATCAACGAAATAGAAAAGAAAAAGTCAAAATAAGCTCCAAAGGAGCCACGGTCAAAGCCCTCAAAGAGAAGTCAAAATAGAATTAGCGAATAAAGAGAAAGAAGAGAAGAAAGCATACCTGCATACCCTAGCAAGCGGCGTCGGCCAAATTTGAATATGGGGTCCACGCCAGGAGCAGGGCAACGACGGCACAGGTGTTAAACGGAGGCGGCGCAGGTGGTAGACGACAGCGGCGAACAGTTCTGGATGTCACCGGAACGCGCCAGTGCCCGACGATGGCGGTGGTGTGCCTTCGCCCTAGAGTGCCCGCAGCCCAAACTACACAGTGACAGCGGCTAAGACAGGGTGCAGCAGAGGGGACGAGCCGCGACCTGGAGCGGAGACAACCAACAGCAGGGCGGAGTTCGGCGTCCGGCACTACAACGACAACGCCAGTGTAGCTGAGGTGTTTTGTTTGCTCGCAGCGAGCGTCGGGGGCTGATGGAGTACGACGGCAGACAAGAACTTCAAACGTGGGTAGGCTGGTCGCACGATTGGACACTGGTGGCGGCGGGCGTCGTTGACCGACTGATGGTGGACGACGAGTTGTGGCCTGGAATAGAGCAAAGTGACTGGTCCTAAATAGGGGTGGGAATAGGCCAGGCGGCCTATCAGGGGCCTGGGGCTTGGCCTGGTTACGGCCTGGCCTGTATAGAAAAAAAAACAGGCTTCGGCCTTTTTAAATATTCGTTTATATTAATAGGCCAGGCTTAGCCTGATTTTAAGGCCTATTTAGCCTGACAGGCCGACCTGTTTATGGTCATGGGCTAGAATATATTTATACATATATGATCTACATTAAAGTGAAAGCCCAATATACTTCTAATTGTAAACTAAATGTTCTAAACTAATGCAGTAATGCTCTAAACCTAGAAACCAAAATATACGCAGAGTCGCAGATCGATAGTCTAGAGTCAGGCTTTGAGCTTTGACGGTAGTTCGACGGACAGCTGTTCGTCTTTTCAAATCTTCTTCGTCCTTCTGGTGGTGTTGGCGGCCAGTTGAGTTCCAGGGAGAAGAATCTAGAGCATTCAGTCCCCTGCTCAAAATTTTAAAGTACCTAGCATATTAATACAAGGTATGTTTTTATTGTATCGCTTCTCTATGTTTTTTTTGCCAAGGTTTGTATTTCTTCTTAGTTATTTTGACCAATCTCTATCATACCCATAATATGTTGCTTCTTTTAGTCAGAATATTTTTTCTAATCTTCAAGTTGTGTTTATTTTACTTAGGTTAGAAATAACTTAGAATCAATGTGGTAAATAGCAATAGGTTCCACAACAGGACTTAGTTGAAACTGGGGTAGGTGGGGTTAGACACTGCCTCTAAAATAGATGGAACTAGGTCGCACTCAACGTGATTTCAGAGGGAAATTATAGCTACCAAGCAGCCATGAAAATTTTACAAGCTGATTGCCAGATCACTAGTTTCCTTGTTGCTTAGTCATCACTTCCTGCAAGAGACACATGGGTAGGCCCGGCTGGAATGTTGAGGAATCTCTTTTAAGTTTTAAGTATTTGGTTACTTATCTAAAATCTAAAAAGGAATATAAGTATTACTAGTTCTTTTCTTGGATGATTGAGTGCTATTCTCAGGAAAAACCAAAGTTGGACCTATTTGAAACCATGTGTTATCTTTTAGTCATATTCATTAAATTCTCTAAATGTCTAAATCTTATATATTCTGCAATACTTATTTGACTATTATATCCGGGAAAAGTCACCAGTTAGTAATTGCATCATCCTTTGCAGTTGGTGGGTAATGCAAATATCAGTAAATCATTTGCTTTAATTTGTGTTCCTGTATACTTATTGACACTCATTGTTCATTAACATTGCCTTGTTTACATTTCTTTGGCATTTTTCCAAATTGATTGAGGTTTTCATTACTTTTGTATTCAATTTTTCATTAAACCATAATCTGATTTCTTATCTACATACATTTTTAGGTCTATATGATGTCTTCTCCACAAGAGAATGCAGAGAATATTGACACAATTTCAACTGCCACTAATCATGATATGGATTGTGGTTCACAAGTACCAACTGATTCAAGCCAACAAGAAGTGAACAATGACCAAACTAATGAGGGTAATCAAGACAATTCTATTATTCAAAGGAAAAGGAAGAAGACATCATATGTTTGGGATGACTTTGTACTTACCGAGATCAGCAAAGGAGTGACAAAAGCAGTTTGCAAACACTGTCGGGGCAAGTTTGCCTACTCGGGGAAGGGAGCTAGCACGAGCCACTTGAAGAGACACATGGATATTTGCTTGAAGAGGAGTTTAAACTTAGCCAAACAAAAGATGCAATGCATCATTCCATTTCAACCCTCTGCCACAACAATCAATCCTTTTCAGACACCGGGCGTTAGATATTCAAATGAGAAGATGAGAGAAATAATTGTGACAGCAATCATGATACACGAGTACCCTTTTAGCATTGTTGAGGATGAAGTTTGGATGTGGGACTTCCAATATGCAAATCCTGAATTTTGCAAGGTATGTCGCAAAACAGCTCGAAGTGATTGTATTAAAATTTATGAAGCAGAGAGAAAGTGTTAAAAACTTTGTTAACGTCTTTGAGCAAGATTTCCTTAACTACTGATATGTGGAGATCAACGCATCAAGTAGCTGAGTATATGGTTTTGACTGGACATTTTATTGATGTTGGCTGGAATCTTCAAAAGAGGGTTTTAAGTTTTGTTAAAGTTCCTGCTCCTCGGCGTGGTGTGGATGTGGCAGATGTTATATTCAAGTGTCTTAAAGTTTCGGGGATTGAAGAAAAGGTATTTTCTGTATCAGTTGATAATGCTAAGTACAACGATTCTTGCTAGAAGAACCTTAAGGATGATTTATTGCTTGAAAATTAGTTAATGGGAAAACTGTCAAATAGGTCCTCGAACTTTCATAAAAAAGTCAATTAAGTCCTTCTATAGGAGACTCTGTCCGGTCGTCGCGATTTGGGGCGGTTCTCGGTGGAATTTTTTGATGAAATTTTTTGAGCATCTTATTCATCAAGTCTAGTTTACTCATACCAAATTTCAGCTAAAAATTTAATCGGGAGCGCATTCAAATTAATTTGAGAACGCAAAAATGCGCAGTTATCTTCAAGAAATAATTTGAATGTGTTCCCGATTGAATTTTTAGCTAAAATTTGGTATGAGTAAACTAGACTTGGTGAATAAGATGCTCAAAAAATTTCATCAAAAAATTCCACCGGGAACTACCCCAAATCGCGACGGCCAGACAAAATTCCACCGGGAACTACCCCAAAATCTCTTAATTGACCTTTTTATGAAAGTTCGAGGACCTATTTGACAGTTTTCCCTAATTAATCTGTAATGGTAAGTTGTTTCATGTAAGATGTTGCGCTCATATTTTGAATTTACTGGTCCAAGATGGACTCAGTAAGATAAAAGGTATCATTCATAATGTTCGAGAGAGTGTGAAGTATATTAATTACAATGATTCAAGATTGAAATCATTTTCTGATATTGTCGTGCAAAAGCATTTGAAAGAAAGAATGCTAATCCTTGATTGCCTGACAAGGAGGAATTCAACATTTAAGATGTTATCTTGTGCTTTAAGATTCAAGATTGTGTTCCCTGCCTACAAGGAAAGAAAGCTACATTATAATAATGAGCCATCTCTCGAAGAATGGTGTAAGGTTGAGAAGGTTTGTCAACTGTTAGAGGTTTTCAATTCCGCATCTGATGTCATGTCTGGCACTGATTATCCAACTGCCAATTTATACTTACCTGAGGTTTGGAGGGTTAAGCACGTTATTGATCAAGCGGCAGAAGATGCAGAATTATTCATGAGATAAATGGCAGCTGCAATGAAAGAAAAATTTGATAAATATTGGGGGGAATGCAGTCTGTTGATGTCCATTTCAAGTGTCTTAGATCCCAGGTGCAAGTTTCATGTTGTCAATTATTGTTTTCCTTTCATTTATAAAATTGAAACGGTGGCTAATAAGAACATAGAAATGGTTATGACTTCATTGGAGTCTCTTTACAAAGAATATGTTGAATTAAACAACCAAGAGCAACGTTCTGGGTCAGGCACGGGCTTTGAGCAAATTATGCGCATTGTTCGCGAAAAGAAAGCAATACCACCGACGAAATCTGAGCTAGAAGTATATCTAGAGGACGATCTATTTATCCATGATATTAGTTCTAACTCTTTTTTGTGCTTTGGAGTGGTGGAAAAACAATAGTATGAAGTATAAGGTTTTATCAAAGATGGTTGTGGATATCCTAGCTATTCCAATCACAACAATTGCATCAGAGGCTACATTTAGCGCAAGAGGAAGAGTAATTGGTGAATATCGTTCAAGGCTAGATGAAGAAACTGTTTCAGCACTTCTATGTGTTGGGGATTGGCTTCGCAAAAAGTATAATTTGAAAAAATAAAAAAGGTATATATTTTATGTATTCACATGTATTTTATATTTAAATTGATGTACTAATGTGTATACTTTCATTTTCTAGGTACGTGAGCTTCAAGAAGAGGAAGAGATAATGTTGAAGATTTGATGCTTTACTGGTCCTTTATGCGTTTGCTTGGGTTTGGTGCTTTGTGGACCATGTATTCTGAAAACTTTGCTTTTTGTTATGGATTGTGCTTGTTGAGTTTTGCTGAAATTTGCATTGATGCTGAAATTTTCTTTAAGCTATTTGCTAGCTTTCTTTTGTATTGAAATTTTAATTTAGAGTTTTTTTGACATGTTAAAAGTCATTAAGTTTCTTATTTGGTTTGAATGAGATCAATATATGTGGACAGTGGACTTCTACTAGTACATTCTACTTATTTATTTAATTTTTGGGATGATATTTATAGCTTAAGCAAGGATCATCAAGATTTAATTTTTAATTTTTTGATGTATTGAATTTAAGTATTTAATACTAGTTTATACAAAGAGCTGTGGAAGGAGGTGTATTCTGTGAACTTGTGAAGAATCTGTCCAGGATGCTTATTCGTTTGGAAGCAGTGCTTATTGGTTTTATGGATTAGCAGCAATGCTTATTTGTTTGGCATCATCAGTCTTTTCATGTCATGGCTTCTCCTTTAATTCACTTCTTTTATGTTGATAAATTGATGGGCTTTTTGGGTGCATTGATAAAATAAGATAGTATTGATTATATTTCGTAAAATTTCTTTTTGGTAGCAGGCTTGGTTAACAGGCTTCAGGCCAAGCCAGACATTCTAGCAGGTCAGGCTTAGGCCGAAAGTTAGGCCTTAAACAGGTAATAGACCAGACTCAGGCCTACACTTTTTAAAACAGGCCGGCCTGTTTAGACAAAAGTCTGGCCTGACCTGTTTCCACCCCTAGTCCTAACCGACGAAGCAATCCAGAGGAAGTAAATATGAAGTCAAAAATTGCACACTTCGTTAAAAGAAAAGGAAAATTAAATGATTGAACAGGTAAAAAGACAAAAATATTGGCATGGTGACTAGGGGTGGACACAGGTCAGGCTAGGCTAGACTTTTGTCTAAACAGGCCGGACCTGTTTTAAAAAGTGTAGGCCTGAACCTGACCTGTTACCTATTTAAGGCCTAATTTTCGGCCTAAGCCTGGCCTGGCCTGAAGCTTGTTAATAAGCATGTTAACCAAGTATGCTACCAAAAAGAAATTATACGAAATATAATTAATATTATCTTTTTTTATCAATGCACCCAAAAAGCCCATCAATTTATCTACATAAAAGTGAATTAAAGGAGAAACCATGACATCAAAACACTGATGCTGCCAAACGAATAAGCAATGCTGCCAAACCATAAAACCAATAAGCACTGCTTCCAAAAATAAGCACTTATTAACAAGGCAACTTGGACAGATTCTTCACAAGTTCACAGAATACACCTCCTTCCACAGTTCTTTGTATAAACTAGTATTAAATACTTCAATTCAATACATCAAACACATGAATCACTTTGATAAAGAATGAAACACATGACCCTATTTGAAAACAGGTTCAACCACAAGTATCTTTTCCGTACTTTTCCTAAGGTAATATTGACTTTATTTATTTTGATTAAACGATTTCAGTGAACAAAATCAAAAGTTATGTGTTTGATACAAATAAATGGGTTAATGAGAGCAATAATTTCAAGGAGCCCCATATGATTCCCTTATGGAGTCATATGGGGTATTGTGGCACCACAATCACCATTCATTTATTTTGTGGGGTCCTCCACTAACTAAATGAATAATGATGATGGTGTCACAATACCCCATATGACTCCATAAGGGAGTCATATGGGGTTCCATAAATTTACTCTTAATGAGAGTGATATGTTGAAGATAGGCTAAACAGGGGTAACCAAACAGCCACCTCCACGACTCCATCTACGCATCTCTTATACATTATTCATACATATTTACTCTATTTATAATGACATTTAGATTTAGGGTGTGTTTGGCACAACTAGCTGAAAAGATACTTTTGTAAGCTTTTTAATAACTGTTAGCTTTTAGTGACGTAAAAGATCTTAAAAAGAAAAGGTGATAGTTGTTTGGTAAAAAGCTGACTGTTTGATTTAGTTTGGTTTGGTATTAATTAGTACTAAAAGTCATAGGCTTTTCTCAGATGCTACTCCCCGTACCATCTCAAAAAAGATCTTTTAATTTTTGAAAAGCTCTTAAAAATTGTCATGCCAAACATACAACTAGAAGCTTTTAGAAACCTTTTGAACGGTACAAAAGCTAGAAGGCAGGGACTTATGCGTGCCAAACATAGCCTTAGATCAAATATAAAGTCTCTTTCTCATGAAAGTAAGAATAAATTTGGTGCATCGAAACTAAGATATAATGGTCTATATATGTCAAAAATGTATTAAAATGGGTGACAATCGCGGTGACATTTTTGTAAATAAGTCAAAGTTTTTCTTGTTTCCAACGAGTGGACTTCCTGTGTCCAAAAATGTACCCTGGATGAGAAAAGTGGACGACAAAAATCATTTAGGTACAATAGTGCACTTTAGATAACCAAAATATAACATGAATTACATAAAAATATTACATGAGTTACAGAGTATATCAAACACTTTTTATAGATGTAATTACATAACACACCCTTCTATTGTAAGGGAGTACGGTGCACACGATACTTTGATACCACTATATAACAATTTAGTTTTTCTTGCTTTCTTCTTCTTTTTGGGTTTTCTTTGTGTTCACTTTTTGGGAGAACAACCACATAGGACCTCAAAGTTTTTTGAAAATGATAAAAAAAAATACACAATTAACACTGATAAACATTCAATTTCTCATTTGAGCAGGCCTTGTTCTATTTAAACCCATGTGTTGGCGCCAGGGACGGATGTATGTGTATGGGTAGGGGGCCATGGCCCCTCCCAACTTTTTTATTTTTTAGTAATACTACTATTATAAGTGAAATAATCAGTAAAGATTGGGTCAAAACTACTCGATAGAAGCTTTTATGTGAGATGCTTTCGGGTAAAATTTTTTGATGAATTTTTGTGAACATGTATTTCATAAAGCGTATATTATATCCATCGTATTTCAGCTTACATGCAATTGGAGAGTCAATGAAATAAATTATGGAAAAACACTGAGTTTTTTTATTTATATATTTTTTGGTACAGTGTTTTTTCAATAATTTATTTAACTGATTTGTCGATTGAATTTTAAACTGAAATTAGGTGTAAATAATCTACACACCATGAAGAATATTGTCATTAAATTTCACCCAAAAAATCCATCTGGAAGCACATCAAACACAGACATCTGGATGGTGGATCCCGTCATGTAATTCTGAAAGGATCATTCCTCATTAAAAATATGAAAAAATATGTTTTACTCCTTGAATAGATCTTATTTAGTTCTATTAAAAATTATTTGATTAAATTTTGCCAAAATAGGAGTCAATGAGTCTTATTTTGAGATTAAAACAATGATAATCCTGTTTATAAACTTTTTTGTCCTATTTAGCGATTTTTTTTTCTTTAGTGTTTGTGTTTGTTCTTGGCCCCCCCTTATGACTGAGTTCTGGCTCCGTCCCTGGTTGGCGCCACCTCATCATCCCTTATTCATTTACTTCAATTAATCTTTTTCTTTTCCCTTATTTTTTATGGGCAATCTCTCATCATTTAATGACTTAGCATGCTGCTCAACTCCTTCCACCATAATTCAGTGGAGGCAGTGGCGGATTCACTCTTATTTCAAACTATTCACTTGAACACTAATTTCTCTAATTTAAAAAGAAGTACAAAAGTACACACATATAAATTGATGTAATAATGAATTGTACTTAATTTGCGTAGTATGTCTAAGGTTAAGTTCATATAGTTTTTAGTGAAAAGTTGTACTACCTTCATCCGTAAATACTTTATCAACTTTACTTCTTCTTTTGGATAGTATATATATATATATATATATATATATATATATATATATATATATATATATATATATATATATATATATATATATATATATATATATATATATATATATATATATATATATATATATATATATATATATATATATATATGAGTAGTCTTCCGGTCAGGTATACCTGACCGGAGCCCCGTCCGGCCTCCTCCATTTGGGGGCCTTCCCGGTGGTATTTGTTGCTCAAATTTTTTGTGTAGGTTCCTCACCAAGTCTAGTTCATCCATACCAAATTTCAGCCAAAAATTCAATCGGGAAGGTCGTCAAATGATTTTTGCAAGTTAACTGGTCCGGAAAATACATATTCCGGACCAGTTAACTTGCAAAAATCATTTGACGACCTTCCCGATTGAATTTTTGGCTGAAATTTGGTATGGACAAACTAGACTTGATGAGGAACCTACACAAAAAATTTGAGCAAAAACTACCATCGGGAAGGCCCCCAAATGGAGGAGGCCGGACGGGGGGAGTGGTCCGGCCTGGCCGGACCTGAATATTTGTCATATATATATATATATATATATATATATATATATATATATATATATAGAGAGAGAGAGAGAGAGAGAGAGAGAGAGAGAGAGAGAACTTTCCTGACATGAACTTTCCCGGTGAAGGGGCCCAAACGCCGAGGTCCGTACGGAAGTCCGTTTTTGGAGGTCCTGACATGAACTTTCCTCTCTCTCTCTCTCTCTCTCTATATATATATATATATATATATATATATATATATATATATATACTCTATCCAAAAGAAGAAGAAGTAAAGTTGATAAAGTATTTACGGATGAAGGTAGTACAACTTTTCAACAAAAACTATATGAACTTAACCTTAGACATACTACGCAAATTAAGTACAATTCATTATTACATCAATTTATATGTGTGTACTTTTGTACTTCTTTTTAAATTAGAGAAATTAGTGTTCAAGTGAATAGTTTGAAATAAGAGTGAATCCGCCACTGCCTCCACTGAATTATGGTGGAAGGAGTTGAGCAGCATGCTAAGTCATTAAATGATGAGAGATTGCCCATAAAAAATAAGGGAAAAGAAAAAGATTAATTGAAGTAAATGAATAAGGGATGATGAGGTGGCGCCAACCAGGGACGGAGCCAGAACTCAATCATAAGGGGGGCCAAGAACAAACACAAACACTAAAGAAAAAAAATCTCTAAATAGGACAAAAAAGTTTATAAACAGGATTATCATTGTTTTAATCTCAAAATAAGACTCATTGATTCCTATTTTGGCAAACTTTAATCAAATAATTTTTAATAGAACTAAATAAGATCTATTCAAGGAGTAAAACATATTTTTTCATATTTTTAATGAGGAATGATCCTTTCAGAATTACATGACGGGATCCACCATCCAGATGTCTGTGTTTGATGTGCTTCCAGATGGATTTTTTGGGTGAAATTTAAT